AAGTTTTCAAAGTATAAAAAGGTTAGTAAGTTAGGCAGAAAATATCAGTATATTTAAGAACAGAAACAGCACAACAATGTTAATGTCCTTAATACCACTGAACTATATGCTTAATAGCTAAGATGGAAAATATTATATATATATTTTACAATTTAAAAACATAAAAGAGAAATAGAATAGACATTCTTAATCTATACAATAATGCAACTTTGTTATTGTAACAAAAGAAAAAAGAGGCAATAAAATTCCACCCACCTGAAAAAGTTTAAACCATCCCATAAAAAACTCTGGACCAGGAAAAAATTTTAAACTAGGGATTATCTATAAAATAACAATAATGGAAACACTACACGTCAAAATAATGGGACACAGCTAACACTAGGTTGAGATGAAAGTTGATAGTCTTAAGTGTCTTAGTCACTACACATGAGAAGGGAAGAAAACAAAAATGTAGTTACAAAACAGCAAGAAATGGCATACTAAACCAAAGATTAAAAAAATTCATTTTCCTATTCCTCATAAATGAAGATAGGGCAGTATCTTAATCATCTCTGCCTCTCCTGTATCCAGCCAGTACATAATATGTTTCATAAATGCTACCTCTAAAGAATGGGAGCTGTATCTGAGAGAGCTGACTTAGCAGTGAATTAAATACATTAGCAGAATGTCATGGAGAATCCAAAGGAACTACACTCATCTTATTTCAGTGTTTTTTAAACCAAAGATGTCATTCTCTTGTTAGTCTTCTCATTGAGTATGCCTTCCATTTTCACTACTATCAATCCTCCTTAAGTTTATTCATAGACGTATACTCTCAATCAACATACCAACAGGTGACCTTGCATGTAATTTTTAGAATCAACTTTTCAAGTAAACAGAAAGTTAAAAAGGAGCTCAGAAACTCATGAAAAAGATTACAATGATAACAATGTCACTGTGTCTTTTCAAAATTATTAAAAAATAAAGACAATTAATTTAAACAGCGTGGCACAGATAACAGCCCAACAGAACTAATGAGAGCCCAAGAAGAGACATGCACACAGACATGACAGAGCTGACAGCAAAGAGTCGTGGGGAGAAGACTGACTTTTCGTTCAATGATGCTGGCGTAACTGATTCATTTTAATAACAGAACTGGACCCACACGTATCACCACACACGGACACACAGAACAATTACAAATAAATTAAGCTTCTAAACAGAAAAAAGGAAAAAACAAAACATAACTTGTAGAAGAAAATGTAACATGGGCATCCCTCGTGGCTCAATGGTAAAGAATTCGTCTGCCCACACAGGAGACACAGGTTGGATCCCTGACCCGGGAAGACCCCACGTGCCTCGGAGCAACAAGGACCATGCACCACAACTACCGAGCCTGAGCTCTAGAGCCTAGGATGCAACAACGGAGCCCGCATGCTCTGGAGCCTGTGCTCCGCAACGAGAAGCCACCAGAGTGAGAAGCCTGCAACCGCAACTAGAGAGGAGGCCCCGCTTGCAACAGCAGCGAAGGGCCAGCACAGCCAAACTAAAGCCAGTGAAAGTGAAAGCCACTCAGTCCTGTCCGACTCTTTGCAAATTATCCAGGCCAGAATACTACAGTGGGTAGCCTTTCCCTGCTTCAGGGGATCTTCCCAGCCCAGGGATCAAATCCAGGTCTCCTGCACTGCAGGCGGATTCTTCACCAGCTGAGCCACAAGGGCAGCCCAAGAATACTGGAGTGGGTAGCCGACCCCTTCTCCAGGGGATTTTCCTGACCCAGGAATCAAACCGGGGTATCCTGCATTGCAGGCAGATTCTTTACCTACTGAGCTATCAGGGAAGCCCAAAAATAAATAAAAGTATACACAAAAACTTTTATTTATTTTTGGGCTTCCCTGATAGCATCACCGACTCAATGGACATGGGTTTGGGTAGACTCCGGGAGTTGGTGATGGACAGGGAGGGCCTGGCATGCTGCGGGCTGCAGTTCCTGGGGTTGCAAACAGTCGGACACGACTGAGCAACTGAACTGAACTAATACACACAAAAAAGAAAATGTAACAGTACATATTAGTGTTAGATTAACATCTCATGGATTGATAAATTTCTATTAAAATTAAGAACTTCTGCTTAGCCACAGATACTATAAAGAAAATGAAAAGACCAAAGATCTTATGGATTGATAAATATCTATTAAAATTAAGAACTTCTGCTTAGCAACAGACACTGTAAAGAAAACGAAAAGATCAAACACAAAATAGAAAAGTATCTGGGACTCGTGTAAACAACAAAAGATACAGAATACATAAAAGAAATTTCTGTGGGTAGAATACCATGACATCTGAATTTTTCACACATCTCAGAAAATAAACAAATGAATAAATAATAAATACACATATATGGATATATATACATACACACATCTTACAACAAAGCAAAGAAGGCAAATATATTAACAGCTGATGGAAATAAAGGCTATTAGTTTCCTTCCCTTTTCGAATACTTGAAATATTTTATAGCAATAGCTGGTGGAGGCAGGGCAGAAGAATGATGAAGGATGCAGAATTCCTACAAAGCAACAGAAGAAACTGGCTTAAGACTTGATAATCATTTTCAAAACAGGAAATTCCAAAAACCAAGATAAACAGAAAAAGATGGTCATCCTCATTAGTAATCAAGAAAATGCATATTAAAATGACACTGAGGAAACAATTTAATGCTCATGAGATTGTCAAAAATTTAAACTGTGACTCTATCAAATGTTCAAGAATATGTGGGTTAATGGATACTCCTATATAAACCAATACACGTGTGCCTGTGTTCCTGTATTGAGGCATACACCAACACATTATTCAGGGTACCGATGAGCTGCACTTTAATCAATCAACATGGATCAATCTCAACCTAACTTTAAGCAAAAGAAAAAAAAAATTAAGTCTCAAAAAAAGATGGTGCCAATCCAGTTATACAGAGTTCAACATTTAGAATCAATCAATCTAGTATTTAGCAATACACTCAAAAAGGGAAACAAAATAAATAAAAATTTGCGAAAAGAAAAAAAATTTTTAAGAAAAACAAGAAAACCTTGGTGAAGTTTATCACCAAAGTCAGAAGAGCAGTTACTCCTTGAAAGAAAGTACAAATTTCAATCCAGAAGAGACAGAAAAGAATTCTCTAAGCAGCCAGCCTTTTGATTTTTAACAGTGAGTCAGAGTATGTGCTTTTAACCACATCCATACAATCCATATAATCTTCTGTAAGAAAAGAACCTACTTTCAGAAATACCAGTAGGAGCTGGGAAAAGAGTTTTCTACATTAAAAAAATTAAATCATCGAAGACAAGTGGCTTAAAAATTATTTTACCTTCAACTATGTCCTGAATACATTAGACAGATTTGCTCAAGAACTGCTGCAACTGAATTATTTTTGAAAAGACAAATCCTTTTTTAGGGGGAATGTTCACCTCTGAATTTGTCATGTTATAGGGACAATGTTAGTGTACGTGCTGCCAAAGTATACACTAAAACGTCTTCCAAATATATAAAATTCTCACAAATTAGAGAGTTCTAGACTTTCTTCCCTCTTCATGAAAAATATACAAAACTCAACACACATACCAAGAGAGAATAAAAGACAAGTGTGCATATTCACTGTTAACTCTATCATTATATCATTAGCTGTTTCATTATGTTACAATTAACAATACACATGCATAGCAAACATTCTTCATAGTATGTACTCAATGATAAATACAGATGGGGTTGCGGAGGACATATGTAATAAAGGACACCACCTCATGGGTTAGAATCGACCATCTTTCACTCAGCATTGATCTAAGTTTTATAAATTAAAGATACAAAGTTCTAAAATTTTCTTTACACCATTAAAAAAATTCCTGGAATACTCCTCTCTCCTTTGAGCTCCTGTATTTTGTTCTTGGGCGTGAACGCACTTGACAGATTCCACTTTATAGTTTCATCTCATCTCCCACAACAGGTAGATGTGTGCATGAACATAAAGTCCACCTTCTTCATCATGAGCCCCCTGGGTGTGCCTAGCTTGAGGCCTTGAATGATAAACCCAAACATGTCTTTTGACTACAGATAAAGATAACTTAATTCTCATATTGTTGATCCAGCGCAGTTCACTGGCTTCATGCATACCCCACAGGGACAACTGACTACGCATTCACCCTACAGGCTGGGACGTGCTCTAGGTGCCTTTCTGGATCACTAGGGGAAGACTGCAGAGATTTTTCTGTACTTGGAACATCATCCCATTATCATAACATGCATGAAGTAATGAACTCAAAAGGAAGATGTTTGACATATTTTTTTTTTCATTCCTTAAGGAATGCTTTTAGCCTATGGCTGTGCCTTGGGTGAGACAATGTCAAGGTTTAAAGAAAACAGAAAAATGCCAGCCTTTGAGGTCAGTTATAAATCCTCCTCACGGTCACAAACAGGAGCTACTTATGCAAGTTGGCTGGTTGGCCAACTGGCTGGTTTTCGGCCATTAACAGTAGCAAGAGAAGGGATGTGCATAAACTGAAGAAACCACATCACATAAGAACCACTACTTAACATTAAAATCAGTGGTGCTGGTGGCAGCCTCCTTGTTTCTGAACCACAAAGTGGCAACATGACAAGATAATCACTGGGGCTGTCGAGGCTGGCAGAAAATTCCCTACATACACCTGGCTTACTAAACTGAGTCACTGGTAACTGGAAGGGGCGGGGGGGGGGGGGTTAAGGATATGTTATTGAGAGCTACTTAGATTGTTCTTATTTGCCATCGTCTCTTTAAAAGCAAGACATTTAAACAAGTGAATGTGAGCTGGTTTTTTCACTTGCTCCACTGTAGCTCACGGGCTCACAGTGGCTCGTGGGGATTATTTAAATTCAGGAGCAGCGCAGTGCTGGTCGACAGGCTCCTGCACCGCCGCAGGCTACAATCCTCACGCAGTGCCTGAAGGGGCATCACAATTGCGGCGGCTACAGAGGACAACAAAGGAGCCTCACCCCTTCCCGAAGGCACCTCATTATCACCGTGTATGCAGCCGGGGGAACAGCCCAGCATTCTCGGGGGTTCTTTTTTTTTTCTTCCTAAAAATGAAGAAGGAAAAGCAGTGAGGCGAAGGCACAGAAGACGTTAACCCTTTCAAAAAAAAAAAAAAGGCTAAGTTTCATACAGACAAATGACGCAGGACTTCTTAATACCCTACCGCAAGTACTAACTACAACCTGCCAACTACGGCCCGGTGAGGGGTCCTTTACTGCAGAGAACGCACAAAGCGTTTCTTCTCTTTCCCAGTATGTCGTACATGACGTTGATAAGCTCCCCTCAGCAACAGCTGGATGGAAAGGACCAAGGGATGACAGCATGATCTGGTTGATACAGAAACCACTCCATCAATAACCGCAGATTACGACATACATACTTCTACCTAAAGGTGTGACATTATCTGGAATGGCTTGAAAGCACAGAACCTGCAGTTTGGAGTAGTATCTCTGGATAATCCATAGGAACAAGGAAAACGCAGGATACTACCTAGCAAGATGAAGCTCAACAAAACCAAGTAACTAGGATCAGTGAGTACACTGACTTTAAGGGTATCAGGAACAATTCTTTCACAGAAGAACTAAGTCAGAAAAATAAGCACAAGAACTCTCCTGGAACCTAACACATAAAGTCACAGAATCGATCCAGGGCCACAGAGAAAGGTGAAAAAAAAACACACACTCTGGTTACAGCAGAAGAAAGGAGGTTCTGCTTAGACAGACTATTTCTGTTTTAAGATTGTCCAAATGTTAGAAGTGGTACCTTACTGATACAAAAGTACTTAATACCATGATGAGAATTGTGACTCATTAACACTGTACCCTTAATTATAAAATGCCACACATGGTCATAATCAAGCCATTATCAACCGGAGCTGCTCCAGCTCAAAAAACACTAGATCAGCACCCAATTTAACTTTCAAACACGACGTGCCTCCCTTTCAGCTCATTTATTCACGACATCCACCACAACCTTTCCTTAACATCCCTGGACCCTACTTCCCATGTTCCTCGCCCTTTTTCTTTACCCCAGTCTATCCCCTACCCACCTTGGCTGCTACTGAGACTCCTAGCCTATAATGTAATCACTCTTGACAAAGGCCTGAAGGACCTCATCCTTTGGAGTTCCATCATCTCAGGTCTGGGGAAACTCAGGCTTACCGGAAGGCAGTGGCTTGTTCTCTCCAGGCCTGTGGTCAGACAGCTGGGCTCTGGGAGGGGTGACAGCAGAAACACAGACTCCACGAGTGACGTAGGATGGGGAAGCCCGGGTACCTTCCACGCCACTCACCAGGCCTCCTCTCTCTGATCCAGTCCCTCTCCCGAAGAACTACAGCATTTCAACCCATTGCCCTCCCAAAACTTCGCTCCTCCTCTTCACAGAGATCATGAGAGTCACGAGAGAGGAACCACGCGCTCACCTCCACCTGTAGCTGGCTGCTGCTCACACCCTGGGTCACAGCAGGGCAGGTTCCTCCACTCCTTCTATGCAGGCTCACAAGTCCCCTCCCGCTCTTCTTCCTTCAGGGTCACTAGCTTCTGGACTATCCCGTACTGCTCCTAAATGTTCAACGTCGTGTCTCCATGGGATCCTTCCCATTCCCACCAGACTCCCTGTCATCTCCCATTTTCAAAACAGCCCTTCACCCCACACCCCTCTGCTCTTTCCCATGGTGATGCTCACTTTCCACTGACTTCCTCAGGATCCCACGTCCCTCTGAATCCTCAACACACAGCAGTCTGATTTCTTCTGCCTCCCCCTCCATGTTAAATAAATACACAAAACAGCTCTTGTTGGGTTCCCGGTGACTTTTGTATCCACTCAAACCAGGAGACTATTTGTAGTCCTTTTTCTTGGACCTTAAGCTCCACATTCAGCCCTATAAACTCTTTTCTGAAATGCCCACTCCTCTCCTGATTTTGCTCCTACTTCACTTACTCACAGGCAGGGTGCAGAAGCTTCTCTTACAATCCTCCCATCTATTGTCCACATTGAAACCAGAGTCATCCTTGTGGCACTTAAGTCAGATGACATCCTTACCTTTTTTAAAACTCTTAACCAGCCTCTTCTTGCTCTTAGGATCAAAACCCAGGCCCCCAACTTGGCCGAGGAGACCTCCACAGTCACACATCCCGTCTCCTGCAGCCCTGCCTCCTGCTCACTTCCCTCCTGTCCCACTGGCCATACTTCAGCTCATGAGTGAAAAAAAGCACCTACCGTGTGCCAAGAACTCTTCTAAACAACAGTCATGCAGCTGTGAGCAAAACAGACAAATGTTCTGTCCTAACGGTGTTCAGTGGGGCGCGGTGAGGGGCAGGGGGACAAAAAAATTTTTTTTTAAGTAAACAAAATAAACAAGGCAAGACAGTCCTGCAAGCTATAAAGAAAAGCACAGTTGGCCAAGGGGTTAGAGGAAACCTGTATACAAAGGGCTTCATCTCACAGTCCTCAGGTTCAGGAGGAGGCTCTCTGCAGAAATCCATGCAAGAGGAGATGAACGGCAGATAACTGCAGGTAAACACTGTGAGCAGGAAGAAACGTGAATGTACAAGTGTGGTGGCAGGATCAGGGTGTAGGGGGTCCAAGGGCCCATGGGGAGGTCAGTGAGGCTGGAAGGAGGAAGCGGGTAAGAGGGTAGTGAGGACAAAGGTCATACGGGAACTGAGGAGCAGCGCCCAAGGCCCAGAGGTGGCTAGAGGGTTTTAGCTATGGCAGCAGGAAGAGAGGGAGCAGGGAGAGCTCTAGGAGTGACAACGGTGGCGTCTCCTGTGTTTCCACAGGCTCCTCCCGCTCAGGTCTGGGGAAGAGACTGCGGTGCACACAAGAGTGATGCAACGAGACCATCTGGGAGTTCTTACAACAGGCCAGGTGGCAGATGGTGAAGTGCTGGACCAAAAGAGACAAAACATGTGAACACCTGGACTCTAGCTCATTATGTATCCTTGACAAAAGAGGAAGGAAAAAATGCATAAACTAAGATGTGCTGTCTCACACATTCCTCTGCAGAATCACGGTCTGGACTGCTGTCCTCAATCTTATAACCTTGGGGTGTTATCAGAGAGCCAAAGGTCAGGACTCCAGTTTCTATGTTATACACGATATGTATGTATGCACGTATGTATGTATGTGGGTGTGGGTATACATATATCAATCACTACAGGTCAGTTCCAGTAGGTCAGCACTGCCCTGAGACATTAAGGTTTACCTACATTCAAAGTTACAAGGAGACCCAATCAAAAAATGGGCCAAAGAACTAAACAGACATTTCTTCAAGGAAGACATAAGGATGGCAAAAAAACACATGAAAAGATGCTCAACATCACTCATTATCAGAGAAATGCAAATCAAAACCACAATGAGGTACCATCACACACCAGTCAGCATGGCTGCTATCCAAAAGTCTACAAGCAATAAATGCTGGAGAGGGTGTGAAGAAAAGGGAACCCTCTTACACTGTTGGTGGGAATGCAAATTAGTACAGCCACTATGGAAAACAGTGTGGAGATTTCTTAAAAAGCTGGAAACAGAACTGCCATATGACCCAGCAATCCCACTTCTGGGCATACACACCGAGGAAACCAGATCTGAAAGAGACACGTGCACCCCAATGTTCATCGCAGCACTGTTTATAATAGCCAGGACATGGAAGCAACCTAGATGCCCATCAGCAGACAAATGGATGAGGAAGCTGTGGTACATATACACCATGAAATATTACTCAGCCATTAAAAAGAATTCATTTGAATCAGTTCTAATGAGATGGATGAACCTGGAGCCCATTATACAGAGTGAAGTAAGCCAGAAAGATAAAGACCATTAAGTATACTAACACATATATATGGAATTTAGAAAGATGGTAATGATAACCCTATATGCAAAACAGAAAAAGAGACTCAGATGTATAGAACAGACTTGTGGACTCTGGGAGAAGGCGAGGGTGGGATGTTTCAAGAGAACAGCATCGAAATATGTATATTATCTAGGGTGAAACAGATCACCAGCCCAGGTTGGGTGCATGAGACAAGTGCTCGGGCCTGGTGCACTGGGAAGACCCAGAGGGATCGGGTGGAGAGGGAGGTGGGAGGGGGGACCGGGATGGGGAATACATGTAAATCCATGGCTAATTCATTTCAATGTATGACAAAAACCACTGCAATGATGTAAAGTAATTAGCCTCCAACTAATAAAAATAAATGGAAAAAAAAAGAAAAAAATAATAATAATAAAGATAAAACAGTCTAATATTAAAAAAAAAAAGAACTAGCAATTCACTCACATATTTACCTGAAGAAAATAAAAACACTAATTAGAAAAGAAAAAAAAAAAAACAAAGTTACAAGGACACAAAACACTCTCATCTCATGAAACATTAGTGATTTCTGTGGATATGACTTCCTGTCGTTAGTTCAGCTCAGTTCAGTCGCTCAGTCATGTCTTGACTCTTTGCAACCCCATGGACTGCAGCACACCAGGCTTCCCTGTCCATCACCAACTCCCAGAGCTTACTCAAACTTATGTCCATCATGTCATGATGCCGTCCAACCATCTCATCCTCTGTCATCCCCTTCTCCTCCCACCTTTAATCTTCCCCAGCATCAGGGTCTTTTCCAATGAGTCAGTTCTTTGCATCAGGTGGGCAAGGTACTGGAGTTTCAGCTTCAGCATCAAGTCCTTCCAATGAATATTCAGGACTAATTTCCTTTAGGATGGACTGGCTGGATCTCCTTGCAGTCCAAGGGCCTCTCAAGAGTCTCCAACACCACAGTTCAAAAGTATCAATTCTTCAGCACTCAGCTTTCTTCATAATGCCAACTCTCACATCCATACATGACCACTGGAAAAACCAGAGCCTTGACTAGATGGACCTTTGTTGGCAAAGTAATGTCTCTGCTTTTTAATATGCTATCTATGTTGGTCATAACTTTCCTTCCAAGGAGTAAGCGTCTTTTAATTTCATGGCTGCAATCACCATCTGCAGTGATTTTGGAGCCCAGAAAATAAAGTCTCTCACTGTTTCCCTTGTTTCCCCATCTATTTGCCATGAAGTGATGGGACCGGATGCCATGATCTTAGTTTTCTGAATGCTGAGTTTTAAGCCAACTTTTTGACCCTCCTCTTTCACTTTCATCAAGAGGCTCTTTAGTTCTTCTTTGCTTTCTGCCATATCATTAATATGTGGTCAAACGTTATGGCCACAGAATCATCCCTATGCTAAAATAGCCTAGCTTATATCCAATTAAAGTAAGTGCCAAGGGAAATGATTCTTCACATCTACTTTCAGAAATAAATAAAAATGTGATTCTGTATCATTCCCTTTATAGAAGACTCTAAAAAATGCAAACTAGTCTTTGTGACAGAAGGCAAATCAGTGGTTGCCTGGGGACTGGGAGAGGGGCAGAAAACTTTTGGAGGTGATGGAGATTTTCATTATCTTGACTGTGGTGATGGTTGCACAGATGTATACATATATTAGCACTGACCAAACTGCCATCTTTAAGCATGTGCAGTTTATGGTATGCCAACTATACCTCAATTAAGCTGAGTGAAAAGGTTAAAAAAAAAAAAAAAGACACACTCACAAAAAGAGTTGGACTGGATTCCCATCCCTGATAAGATGGCAAACAAGATACCTGATCACTCTTCTAAGGAAAGCAGTTTTACTCTACATCCTTAAAATGCCTCAGAGAGTTGACAAAAAAACAAAGAATAATCAAGCCAAAAATTAGCTGCAAGCATGGAGGGATAAACAGATCGCTGAAGTTTGCTTTCATTCTCCAAGCCTGCAGAACTTGGTAACTTTGAGGTTTGATGTCAAGGCCTCAAGGGCCCAAGGTAAGAATAAAGTTGACAGAAACTCTCCAGCCCCATCCCCAAAGAACCACAAGGAAAGCTGTCTTTCACAAAACTTAGCACACAAGACAATGTTCCAGTGCTAGAGGAGGGAGGGCGGGAGCTCTAAATGCTAATTGAAGAAGACATCCATTTTAATTATTAAGAATTAGCTCCAGTGTGTATACCTCCATATACTTTTTAATACTGTGTAACTATTAAATGAAAAACGTTGTTCTACTTGCTATATAAAATGAGACGAAGTAAGAATCTACATTTCTGCTTTCTCATTTGGGCAAAAATAACTCTGTAAGTATAAGTAAGAAAGAAACGGCAATGGTTATTTACTGGGGAATTACACAGAAGTGGACAAAAAGAGAAAAGAGACCACAGGCTGTGTACCTTTCTATACTTCCAAGTTTTGTAGTTTCGTGATTGTGATATCTCTTCAAAATATAAAATTATCTGAGAATAAATTCAACTAAGTGAAATACACAAAAAGCTTTATTAGTTAAATAACTTACATTAAAAAATTGTAATATAAATATACGGAAACATCATGTTTTTTGCATTAAAGGACAACATATCATAAATGTACTAATATTCTAATAGACTCAGCACAATTCCAAACATGTATTAGAAGACTCAAAATCATCAAGATATCAGTACTTCTGCACAGTCGATGCTGTTTTCAAAAGATGATTTCAAAATTGGACAATCTAACTCTAACATTTATTTTGACATGCAAATGACCAGGTAGAGCCAAGACATTTATGAAAAGGAAGAATGAGGAGGAGAGATTTGTTGTACCAGCTATCAATACTAAATATGGAACTAAGTGATTTTAAATACTGATGTTTTCCAATAATTACTCTAGTCATCTCAGAATGATGATTATCCAGACAGCAACTTAGATACTAAGGATACTTAGGTTACATAACACTTAAGCAAGTTCTAGAACCAAAACAAGTGGAAACAAAGAACTTTTGATTAACTTATAATGTACCAGCACTCATTTAAAAGAGAGCATCACATAAAATCAATGACTCATAATCTATCTATATCTATTCAAGATATTCCCCCAAGGAGAAGCCAAAACCTGCAGTCACAAGCTCTCACCACCGTGTTATTAATAACAGCAAGTGTATCAGTCACTCATTGTGTCCAACTCTTTGCGACTTCATGGCTCCTCTGCCCATGGACTTCTCCAGGCAAGAATTCTGGAGTGGCTTGCCATTCCCTTCTCCAGGGGATCTTTCTGACCCAAGAACTGAGCCCACGTCTCCTGCATTGCGGATTCTTTACCATCTGAGCCACCAGGGAAGCTTCCAGGTGGCACTAGTAGTAAAGAACCCGCCTGTCAATGCAGGTGCAAGCAAGAGATTCAGCTTCAACCTTTGGGTTGGGAAGATTCCCCAGATGGGGGTATGGCAACCCACTCCAGTTGTCTTGCCTGGAGAACGGACAGAGGAGTCTGGTGGACTATGGTCCATAGGATTGTAAAGAGTCAGACACAACTAAAGCAACTTAGCACGCACACACATGTAAAAAGGTCGTCTCTTGTGCTGCTGGAAGAGCGTGTTTACTATGACCAGTGCGTTCTCTTTGCAAAACTCTGTGAGCCTTTGCCCTGCTTCATTTTGTACTCCAAGGCCAAACTTGGTGCTCTAAGTAGGTAAGTTCATTTCACTGGGTATGTTTGTACCTGCCTTGGCAAACTCCAGGAGATGCATGCTATACACACCCTACTGTGTGTATATTTACACACAGTGTTTTAAATATCAATGGTGTTTTTATACTGGAAGAATCAATGATATCTTCTTGCCTAAAGGAGTCAAAGATGGCAGCAACCTGGGGACAATGTTGTGGGGAGGGGTGTGGTAGGGGCTCTGGTCCGTTGGCTTTAAAATACAGCTTGAGACTCTCCTACACTTTAAAGAAAAAGGGGCACTGGGAAAGAGGAAAGACTGACCAGGAGACAGAGAAGAGTCAGAAAGACACCAAGAGCCTCTCCCCTCCACAGGCAAAATTTTCATTGAATTCCTTACATGTGCCCAAAGAGGTAAAATCAAAACACTTTGATATTAACACTTATCAGCCAGGAAATGTCAGAACACATCAGACAGCAAGAGAGTTAACCAGATAGTCTTACCTCGGTGGCTATAAGATAGATCAGCTCTCCCAGGGTTGGTAAAAGGCACTGTTTTAATTTGCTGTTCCTGAAATTTTCCCTGATTAATTCAGTTAAAAGAGTGATTGCCTGAAAAGAAGGGAAAACAATGTATATTATTTCATGCATACCTCTCAGTTCTTTACCCTATATGTAACAGGAAAAACATTCCACAAAATTCATCTGACCTTTTTTAACAACTGGTCTACAAATGATTTTCAATATATGGACCTTATTCCTGAAGAAAAAATAGGAACTCTCCTAGACGATGATGTAAATTTGTTGCTGTTCAACTCTTCACAACCCCATGGACTGTAGCATGCCAGGCTTCCCTGTCCCTCACCATCTCCTGGAGTTTGCCAAAGCAGATACAAATATGCCCAGTAAAATAAACTTACCTACTTATCGCACCAAGTTTGGCCTTGGAGTACAAAATGAAGCAGGGAAAAGGCTCACAGAGTATTGCAAAGAAAACGCACTCGTTACAGCAAACACCCTCTCCCAACAACACAAGAGATGACCCTAAAAATGGATGTCACCAGCTGGTCAATACCAAAATCAGATTGATTATATTCTTTGTAGCCAAAGATGGAGAAGCTCTATACAGTCAGCAAAAACAAGACCAAGAGGTGACTGTGGCTCAGATCATGAACCCCTTATTGCAAAATTCAGACTTAAACTGAAGAACACAGGGAAAACCACAAGTCCATTCAGGTATGACCTAAATCAAATACCTTACGATTATACAGCAGAAGTGACAAATAGTTTCAAGGGACTAGATCTGATAGAGTACCTGCAGAACTATGGACAGAGTTTCATGACATTGTACAGGAGGCAGGGATCAAGACCATCCCCAAGAAAAAGAAATGCAAAAACGGCAAAATGGCTGTCTGAGGAGGCCTTACAAATAGCTGAGAAGAGAAGAGAAGCAAAAAGCAAAGGAGAAAGGGAAAGATATTCCCATTTGAATGCAGAGTTCCAAAGAATAATAAGGAGAGATAAGAAATCCTTCCTCAGTGATCAATGCAAAAAAATAGAGGAAGACAATAGAATGGGAAAGACTAGAGATCTCTTCAAGAAAATTAGAGATACCAAGGGAACATTTCATGCAAAGATGGGCACAGTAAAGGACAGAAATGGGATGGACCTAACAGAAGCAGAAGATATTAAGAAGAGGAGGCAAGAAGACATAGAAAAACAATACAAAAAAGATCTTAATGACCCAGATAACCATGACAGTGTGATGACTCACCTAGAGTCAGACATCTTGGAGTGCAAGGTCAAGTGGGCCTTAGGAAGCATCACTATGAACAAAGCTAGTGGAGATGATGGAATTCCAGCTGAGCTATTTCAAATCCTAAAAGATGATGTTGTGAAAGTGCTACACTCAATATGCCAGCAAATTTGGAAACTCAGCAGTGGCCACAGGACTGAAAAAGGTCAGTTTTCATTTCAATCCCAAAGAAGGGCAATGCCAAAGAATGTTCAAACTACCACACAATTGTACTCATCTCACATGCTAGCAAAGTAATGCTCAAAATCCTTCAAGCTAGGCTTCAACAGTATGTGAACTGAGAAAATCCAGATGTACAAGCTGGATTTACAAAAGGCAAAGGAACCAGAGATCAAATTGCCAACATCCACTGGATTATCAAAAAAGCAAGAGAATTCCAGAAAAACATCTACTTCTGCTTCACTGACTACACTAAAATCTTTGACTGTGTGGATCACAACAAACTGTGGAAAATTCTTTCAGAGATGGGAATACCAGACCACCTGACCTGCCTCCTAAGAAAACTAAATACAAGTCAAGAAGCAACAGTTAGAACTGGACATGGAACAACAGACTGGTTCCAAATTGGGAGAGGAGTACGTCAGGGCTGTATATTGTCACCCCGCTTGTTTAACTTATATTCAGAGTACACCATGCAAAATGTCAGGCTGGATGAAGCACAAGCTGGAATCAAGACTGCCAGGAGAAATATCAATAACCTCAGATATGCAGATGACACCACACTTATGGCAGAAAGTGAAGAAAAACTAAAGGACCTCTTGATGAAGATTTAAGAGGAGAGTGAAAAAAACTGGTTTAAAATTAAACATTCAAAAAACAAAGATCATGACATCCAGTTCCATCACTTCATGGCAAATAGATGGGGAAACAATGGAAACAGTCAGACTTTATTTTTGGGGGCTCCAAAATCACTGCAGATGGTGACTGCAGCCATGAAATTAAAAGACACTTGCTGCTTGAAAGAAAAGCTATGCCCAACCTAGACAGCATATTAAAAAGCAGAGACATTACTTTGCCTTCAAAGTAATAGTCAAAGGTATGATTTTTCCAGTAGTCATGTATGGATGTGAGACCTGGACAAAAAAGGCTGAGTGTGGAAGAACTCATGCCTTCAAACTGGTATCCTTGACAGTCCCTTGGACACCAAGGATATCAAACCACTCAATCCTAAAGGAAATCAACCCTGAATATTCATTGGAAGGACTGATGCTGAAGCTGAAGCTCTTATACTTTGGCCACCTGACTCATTGGAATAGACCCTGATGCTTGGAAAGACTGAAGGCAGGAAGAGAAGGGGATGACAGAGGCCGAGATGATTGGATGGAATCACTGATTCAATGGACGTGAGTTTGAGCAAGCTCCAAGAGATGGTGAAGGACAGGGAAGCTGGCATGCTGCAGTCCACTGGGTCGCAAGGAGTCCGACACAGCTGAGTGACTGAACAGAAACAACACTTACAGCATGTATCAGTTACCAAGCACTTTCACTGTATCGATAATCTTCTGCCAGGCAACTGTGGCTCTGTCTTTGAAGCCAGAAAACCTAGGCTGAGAGAGTAGAAGCAACTTGCCCCACATACCATCCATGCCACTTGGAGGCTTATACTGCATTAAATTCTACACTAAATACTGCATTCAGCTCTGATACTGCATTAAACTTTGAAGTGACTCCTTCAAAAATATGAGAGGAGCAATATTATAACAGCATTTTGGTATAATTCACTTTGAAATTCTGCAGCATATTTTTATCAGATCTAGTTAATTTCCTAGGACTCATGCAGAGAAAATCCCATGCTCCATGCCAGAATTTATGCCCCAGAACACAAGGTTAATCAAACCACGTTGTGACCATAAACTAGGGTTGAATGGTTTCAGAATGATACATATAGAATGAGATGGGGGAAAAATATGTACATGTGTAGTACAGAAACAGTGCTCTGAAATATTGCGACTCAAAACATGCTGCACAAACAAGATTAATTCTCATGGTGATAAGACCTAGGTTTTTAAGTTGAACATATACCAAAACACTATGCTGCACACCTAAAACTAATACAGTGTTGTATGTCAATTATATCTCGCTTTATCATTTAAAAGTTTAAAAACTGAAAGTGAGCAATTTAAAATTTTCAGAACAATTTCACAGTGTAATAATACAACATCCCAGCATGCGATCACTGGTTCTATTTTGTAAACAAGAGTGTGGACAAGTTGGAGTTGGACATCAAGCAGCTGCAAAATAGTCATGCATGGAGGAATACTTGATGTGGGGACAGTTTTGATTCATAACTGACCTACAATGAGCTACATTTTCTTGTTGCTGTTTTCCTGCCATGCCGTGTGGCTCGCAAGACCTTAGTTCCCCAAACAGGGATTGATCCTGGGACCACTGCAGTGAAAGCTCCGAGTTGTAACCACTAGACCGCCATGGAATTCCCTCAGTTGTATATATTTAAAGTGTATGATCAAGATACATTTGACATACACACATCCCATGTGAAATCACCACCACAATCAAGAGAGCAAAACCCTCAAGTGTTTCCCCAAGTTCCCTTGGTAATCCCACTCCATCCCACTACCTTTCTCTTCTCCTATCAATTTACTTTCTGTCATTAGTTTGCATTTCACATATCATGTTTTCTTATTTTTCTGGCTTCTTTCACTTAGCATAATGCATTTGAGATTCAGGCTTACTATTTATTCTATAATGCATTCTTTTTTATTGCTGAGTACTCTTCCTCCATATAGACATAACATCTTAGGTAACCCCCACCACTTATTGCCTTACACACAGTGAGTCCCCTATATAAAATGGTTGAGAAGGAAAAAGCAATCATATATAATATATTGGCCTTTGCAGGCCATTTCTACACACAGCGTTTCTTTTCCTTTACCCTGTATTGATCAGCCATTGATCATTCATTAATATTACACTGACCCATCGGAAATTAACAATGCTCAGCCATTTTTTACCCTATGAAAACCACACATTTACCATAAAAGAGTGGATAAAGGCAAGTTTTCTAAAAAGAAAGGAAATGTTTTTTTAAAAGGAACCTTGGAATATGAGGAAAGAAATAAGAACATGACAGGCAAAAATACAGGTAAATTCAATAGTCTTTCCTTCTCCTATTAAGTTTTCTAAATTAACTTTGATGGTTGAAGCAAACATTATAAAAATACTTGATTTGGTTCTAAGTGTATTTAGAGGATATATTTTACTCACTATTGACAAGGGGATTTTTGCATAAACTAATGCCTATGGCCAACAATGTGCTATGTAAGCGAACACTGAAACATCTCTGGTCAATAACGTTAAGGTAATAAAAGACATACCAATATATCTCTGGTCAATAATATGCTAACTATATAAAACAGAGGGAGGTTAAATGGTTGAAAAAGGAGGTAAGTTTTCTATACTTCACTTAAACGGGAGAAATGATGCCACTAGACTATGATTAAATTATGTATGATATAAATATAAACAATGTTAAAAAAGAAAAACCCAAAGATGATCTAAATAAAAGAAGAGGTGTACTTTTATGTATGTGTGTGGATATTTTATTTTCTATACAATATGATGTTTTGACATCTTAAACAAGCCATTCTGGTTGGGGAGAGAACGACCTTCCTAGGGCCAGCCGATTCTTAGAGGTAGCTAAGGCCCAGGAAAGTGAAAATGAAAAGTGTTAGTCACTCTGTCATGTCCGACTCTGCAACCCCATGGACTACAGCTCACCAGGCTCCTCCGTCCGTGGAATTCTCTAGACAAGAATACTGGAGTGGGTAGCCAGTCC